TCCTGTCGGCTCGAGGAGGTGCACATCAGGCTAGGTGTCGGCGTAGGGTACAGGGCTACACAGAGGCTACGCCGTCGACTCGACGCAGAAGTATAAATCACACTTAAACTCCTGGAGCTAGTCCGCAATTACCAAGGTCGTTATGATGTCTCATTAAAATCACAACCTGCTCGAGTGTCGCTATTATTGGTTTGTTTACGATGTGCAAATTCGGAGGTTGTCAAGGAAGATAATCCGGTTGGCGAGGGATGATCCAGTCCTGGTCTGCTCCCTAGTGGATTCAGGTTAAATACTTCAGGGACACGCAAAGTACACAGGCAAGTAGTGAACAATGCGTTTGCGTTGCCGACGTCTGTCTACGCCTAACCACTGTTAAAAAGCAAGTCTATCCAGGGTCTAACGGCGTTAAACACGTTTGTTAGCCAATCTCTGTGTTTCAGTCGGAGCCGCTGTTGATCAGAGATTCAGTCCGGGTGGGTTTACTACACTGTTGATGCTTCGGTCCACAGCCTGCTACATCAGCTGTGTGTGTGTGTGAGAGAGAGACATGTAGATCTGGCACAACCTTTAAAGGGGCAGTAAGTAATTGTTGACCTTTATCGACCTACAACCAATCACAGCTTTGAGCTGTGAAACCAGATGCTGAACCTTCAGACTGACTTTTAGTTTGAGTCACTTTGAGAAACAAAAGCTTGATTTATAAGAAGTCAGATCTTTCACTGTGGATGAAGGTCAAGCCTCATCTGATGAGCAGCTGGAGGTGGAGACAGGTTTTTCAATAAACATAATAATTCCCTCTGCAAATCATAATAAAATTACAATAGCAGTAAAAATAATCAATGACAATGATTACTAAATAATCAAAAAGCAATTACATGTTTCATTCAAAATCGTTACCTACTAAGAATATATTTCCCCTCCTTCATAATAAAAGTTAGTGTTTGTAGAAAACGTAAATAACAGGAGCAGGTTCTGTAACACGCAATGATACGCTGCAGGAAAACGCTGTGACCTTCATCAGCAGCCGGATTCCTATTTTTAATATTGGTATTATTTATACATAATTGGATTTTTAAGTACTTTAGTGTCTCTTCTGAATGCAGATTAATCTGATTTTACAGTAAAAACAAAGACTTGTTTCTGCCGGTTCACCACGCTCAGCTTGGCAGTATGATGGGAAACCAGCAGGGACGATATGGCCTAGAACTCACACTGTTAGAACAATGCCCACTTTGTTTGCAAAAATAAACGTGAAAATGTTCAAGAACAGATGAAACAATAAGTCAATTAATCACGATTTCATGGTTCCAGCTTCTCAAATGTGAAGATTTTCTGCATTATCTTTTCATTATTTTAATTTATTGATAACAAGAGTCTTTTTCACTGCTTTAAAGAATTTGTGAAAGACCTTTTGAATGGCTGAAGAGCACTGAGTCTGTTCTTAAACACGAGTGATTGGTTTAGGCTTTGTGTACGTACTGCCCCTTTAAAACCCAAATCCTGCCAGGTTTGTGGTCGTGTCCAGCTTCTCCTAAGGAAGCGCGGTGTCGAACACTCTTGAACCAGCTTGCTTGCATGAATGAGGTTTTTTTTTTGTGTGTGTGTGTGTGTGTACATGTGATGCAGCTTGGTATCCAAAGCTTGAGCTACTTAAAGATTCAGCAGTAAAAAGCGAGAAATGCTTCCACTGGATCGATTTGACAGTTGCCAAAACAAACATTTTCTCTCTCGTGATAAAACTATAAGTAAATGATTTATTTAAATGTACTATAGCCTGTGTACATTATATAATATTATTTATCACTAGTCTTCCTGTTGTTGAATTAATATTTGAAAAGCAGTGATTAGTTATGCATTTCTTCATGTACTGTATATTTTACCATAAAACACTCAGCAAACTGTAACACCTTTTCCTCATAACCATTTATATATATTAACAGTATTATTTCTCCTCTTGGCTAAAATCTGTAAAATAGTAGAGCAACAATTGCTTAACATTTCCTACATCCCTGTTTTAAAATCATTTGGATCTTGAAGGCCTGCTGAAAACAAATCATAAAACAACCGGCCGTCACGTTGCAGAGACGTCAAAGTCTGGAACAGAAAATATGGTGGAACCGTGAAGGTTCTCAGTCCAGGTCATAGTTATCCAACGGGGGGCTGAAATCAAGGTCAACAGGACTTAGTTGAAGGTTCTTCAGTTCTGACTTACTGGCAGGAAGTCCCAGTCATTTAAACCTCTGCGGGGTCGTTATCAAGGGGATGGACACCGCTTGGTTCGGAATGAAATAATAATTCCCTCTAATATCACAAGTTATATTAGTTTGGCAATTAGATCATTTCTCATAATTATTTGGCCCTGATTTCCTGGTAAGGGATGAGAGGACAAGGTAAGTGGTGTCACAAACCTTCTCCCTGTTAAGAGGTGGTCTCTCTACTTAAGCGGATCATTTATATATGGGCAGAAAGACCATCTCTTAACTGGGGAAGGTTTGTAACACCACTTATCCCCAACTTTCCGTCCTTTCATCTCTTCCCAGGAAACTAAACAAACACTTATATTTGGCCTTGTGACAAATCCCGACAACGTTCCACAGAGTAATTTCAACAAAGTCCAGTTGCACTTGATTTTAAGCTTCCTTGACAGAAAATATGGATGTTTGTAATTTAGCTGCTGGATAAATAAAGGGAGTCTGCTTGTTGCTGTATCAACGATCCTTCATGAAATCAGACGCATCTCATCGTCACGTTTTGGGAAAAGCAATAAAACCGAAGCGGCTGCTCCCCCCCCCGACAGAATCTGCACTTTACTTCTATATTTCTAGCTTTGTTTTGGCAACTGAGAAAATCTGAACGGAGAGTTTTAAAATGTGACGCTGGTGTAAATTGTGTAAGAATTTCCTGTTGAACGTTGCAGCGATGTTGTTTTTTAATGTCTTTTTGTGTGTGTACATATATATAAACGGCCTGTACTCACATTTTTGTACTTTTCTGACAGGGAGGAAATTTATTTTTTATGTGACTTCCTTTCAGGTTTGTTGAAAACTTCGATGTAACAAAACCTTTTGTAATTCTTTCTGTAATTTGTTTGTACAGCAACTTTAAAATTTACATGCATGAAAAGCCCCTTTAATGTCGCCTTAACTGCTGTGAATACTGTAAATACTGCACTGTTCATTTCTCACCACTTTATCAGTAAAGACCTTGATTCTCAAAACAAAATGCACCTTTTGTTAATCAATTCTTTCCATCAGAGATTAAATAAGGATTGCACCTTCAAAGTTTGAGCGTTTCCCTGCAACATGATGAAGAATACATTGAAGACGTTTAGCTCCAGGTACGTTTCTCAGCACCTGGTCCGAGCGCCATTACTGATGTTTTCACTCTGCAGGTCAACGAACTTCAATAAGAACAGAACAACAAACTGAATAACGGAGGATTTTATTCTGAAAATCACAGCTGAGACTGTTCTCTGACTGCTGCAACAACAAAAGGCCGGCTCAGCAAAACCACATGATCACTGTCAAGTCGCAGGAGAGAATACATTTCCTCTGATATTTGAGAAACATCGTCTGAAAACTGTGGCTCAGTTTCCTCAAAACGCATGTGAAAGAGTTTTTTTCCTATTTAGCCTTCAGCCGACCTGAACAGCCTCGTTCTCAGTTGGCGGTTCAGGCATTGAGGTACTTGGCGTGGTGCTTGATGTGGTCGTTCATGAAGGAGTAGATGAAGTAGTAGCTGTGGTCGTAGCCCTGCAGGAGCAAACGCAACGTTAACGTCACAAAGCAACTCGGACTACGCAGATCTGTGTCAAAGCCTGGACATGTCGTAAAACATGTTGCAGTTTACACATTCTCAGAAACAACCAAATCAACTAATTTTTTGTTAATTGAACCTTTCCCAGCTTGTCTGTGACATTTCACTGATGGGAAGTTTGTACTAAAACATTGGAAGACTTGATCCGTCAAACTTCTGAATCTTCATATGAATTTAAACTGAACTTGTCCCACATCATTTTTACACTTTAATTAGCAATGTGAGATCTCTCACACCAAGTATTGAGAGGAAGGAATAATTATAGCCACCTAAAACTGCTTATGACAGACATGTACTGTATTGCATATAAATATTTTATGATGCACTTCAAAATATATATACTTTAATAAATAATAAATAAGTGTCTGTGCCGATATTATCGGCTGATATGAGCTAAGTGCAGATAAATCTGTGTCTGCGTTTATAAAAGTCATATATGACTGTTGTTGCATAGTTTGTCCACCAGAGGGCGCTCTGCAGCTCCACTGTTAACACATTCTACCAGGAAACAGCAATCAGCTGTACTTTTGTTCAAAGTACTACTTATAACAATAAAATTAGTACGTAAAAGTATATATTTTTGTCATGTTATCTCAGGGAGTAACTGCACATAACAAACACATAATCTTTGTTTAAGTTTTGTGTTTCTGAAAAGTTAAAAATAAGAATCAGATTTAAAATTCTGATATCAAAATCTGTCTTCCAAATCATGTTGGGCTCTACACTAAACTGTCTGGTTCAAGACACTGATACCGTTTAACAGTGATGACTAAAGTTATTTTATCTGTTAAATTTAACACAGGAAATGAGGCACTTAGTGTGGCAGCGTGCGTTTAAAGACATCTTGAACACTGACGGAATAAAAGCAGATGTTTTAAACAGTTGGTTTTTAACTGTATAACAATGTGGTTTGGTTGTATAATTTATTATTACAGACAGAACTCTTCTACTCAGTCACTAAATCACTGCCTGACAATAAAAACTTTACTCATTCTGCTTTTGTGCAACCTCCTTTCTTTCTTTCCCAACAACACACAGTTTAAGTTAATAGCCTGTGAATGTTTGTTAGCAGTGATGATTAGCAGTGTTTTTTTTTCCTCTTTCATCTGTGTGTTGAGCAGCTACGTACACACACTGCTCACAGATAAATAAAGTTGGGTTGAACTGAAGTTTAAAAGGCACTGGGTTCAACTTTCACACATTGACATAATGTTTAGATGCTCTGCAGCAACAATCAAATGTTTAAGATTGTTTTACATCACAGACGTTTGCTCAGTTGTCATATCTAAAGTAACATGAGAATTAATCCTGTTTTAGTTTAAAAAATAAACCAGCGCAGCAATTAATATGCAACAGTTATTAAAAGAGTCTTCCTGACATTTTACTGTGAAGAATCAGTGCTTTTACTTTGACAGACTACAGGAACTGACCGGCTGCAGTCTGAAGACGACGGGGATTTTCTTCTCGGAGCAGACGGCGATCAGGTTGTCGGGAAGCAGCTGGCTGGCTGACAGGAACTGGTCGTCACGGCCCTGATCGATCAGGATGTCGAGCTGAGGGCTGGAGTACGCCGCCGCCAACACGGTGGCGTCGTACGCCTGAAAGAGGAAGGGCTGAGTTAGCTGGTGGTTCATTTCCAAACTGCAAACTCACATCTACATTCAACACCACAACAATGTTTCCCACTTTATTACTCTTTATATTTAGAGGCTATAACTGTTAGTTTACAATAAAAATGACGTCTCTGGTGGAGAATCTGCAGCTTCACGGTGACTTTCAGCTAAACGTCGGTTCAACCCATCTCTCACTCTCTGTACATCCTGCGGAGTTAGTTTGTGATGCTCACAGCATTGAAAGATACCCTCTAAAATCTTAACAGCAACATCTTTAGAAAAACTTTATCCTAAAGAAATCGTCCCAATGAAAACTAAATTCACCACCTGCTCACACAAAGCTTGTCTTCTGCATAAAACAATAGATGTGATGAATGCTGCCGCTGCTGTGTTTCTACATATTTCTGGTTCACACTGTTTTACAACAAGACTGGATATATAAATAAGGAATCAGTCACACGTTTGTGTTTCGAGCAGCCGTGAAAGTAACTACATGTACTAAAGTATAATTTTGAGGTACTTGTACATTCCATTTTCTGCAACTTTTCTACTTGACATCTCAGAATACTTTTTACTTCATTACATGCATCTTACAACATTAGTTAACGTTGCAGATTCAGTTTCTTACTACAAAATATAATCAGCAAATAAATTCTGATGTATTAATAATTATGGAAAAAGACTTTATTGATCTCTTGGTGAAATCTACAAACTACCCAGCAGCTCCACCTTTACCCGCTGCAACACCCATTTGCATCACTAACTGTAATCCAATAATTTAATAAACACGATTCTGAAATGATTCTCTGCGTACTTTAACTTTCTGTCAGAGTAGTTTGATGCCCATACTTTGAAGTTTCACTTGAGTAACAGGGTATACTTTTTTTTTTTTTTACCTGTAACAGAGTATTTTCTGTGCTTTTACTATTCTGAGTATTTGTTCTGGTTCTGAGGAAAGTTCTGTTTTAACATCCTTTAAAATAATCCCAATTCCAAATTTTATTCTCCGTCACTCAGCTGTTACGATCCAATGACAACACGTCTCTCTGTGAGACGCTCAGTGTGTCTCTATCACCGCTACCATCAGGACCGCGGTCTGCAGTGGACTTACCTCCCACGTGGACCTGTCAGAGCCCAGGTATCCTGAAAAGGCTTTCTGTCCCCAGGGACACTGCATGGGGTTACAGATGGGAGCGAATGCCGACACCGCCTGCAGGAGACAGACAAGGACACGTCATCATCATCAGGAAGCCAGAGGACGCTGACAGCAGACTCTGCTTCTACTGAAGGGACATAAAGAGAGACTCGGCTCTGGAGGTAGCTGAGGGTGAAATAAAAACTAACGGCGCCTTTAGACTGTGAGAGACAGTCTAACAAAAACAGGCAAAGTGAATCATTTAGCTGACGCTTTTATCCAAAGCGACTTACAATTACTATACATGTCAGAGGTCGCACGCCTCTGGAGCAACAAGGGGTTAAGTGTCTTGCTCAGGGAAACAATAGTGGATGGGTCACAGTGGGGGACTTTCACTTTGGAATAAATAAGAAAGCAAAACCACCTTGTCCGCTCATTTACTGCAACACGCGTCGCGCAACCAGTACATATGTGCTAGAGGTAAACGAGCAATAGGTGTTGAGTGGAGTTGCTGGTGTATCTGGTGTTTTCCAGCTCCAGGAGATAAAACACCAGATGCACCAGCAGCCCCGCAGGCTACTGAACCGCGGGATCAGTCTCACTCGCATGGAGCCGGTTTGACTTTGAAAAGATGGATGTTGCTCAGAAGATGTCAATCTGCAAACTGAGTGGAAAATCGGTTGCCAGCGCACAGAATGTCACGAATAGAACAAACTTTGGCGAGTCAAAACCAGCCGAGGTACCAGCAAAAAAACCACATCTGATCAAAGCCACTAAGACAACAGGTGATTACTCATAGCTGCACTGTTTGATATCAGTAACCATGGTGATTTCAGTGTTTTTATATTGATTTTACTTAAATTCTTCAGTTTTAAGTAAATAAATAAGACCCGTTTCCACTAATGTCATTAGTAAGCAACAACTAAAATCATAACCGCGAGCTAGAACAATATCAAGACTTTTACAAACACGTTTCTGAAGGATAATGATCTGACCACATTTTTCTACTTTTATCTCAGGCAGCAAACCCAGTACCTTGTATTTCCCAGGGTTCTTCAGGGCACAGGTGAGCGCTCCATGGCCGCCCATGGAGTGTCCGCTGATGGACATCCTGTCTGGGTCAGTGGGGAAGTTAGCGTTGATCAACTTGGGGAGCTGTGAGAGAGAGAGAGGGGGGGGGTTATATTCATTCTGTCCCAAGATTAGCGAATGATTTATAAACTAGCAGCACCTTAAAACTCAGTTTAGAATTAACATGAAGACAGGGTAGAGATTTAAGAACAAGAGAAATGTGCTCGCTTCTCTTGGTTCTTGTTAGAACTCTGGCAGCAGAGTTCTCAATGACTTTAAGCTGTCTGAGGTTTTTTTGAGTCGTCAGCTGAAGTGGTGAGACAGAAGGCAGCAGGCAGAAGATAATGAAGGTTTGTGTTTGGCTAGTTGGACATTTAGCTCTATCAGTTGTTGAAACGTTCATGTCGATGAGCTCTGCAATCAACCAATCACAGCCCGGATGAGGTGGGACATTAAATAAAGTTTGACGTGCTGCAGCAAACTTTCAAATGTTGAACTGATTGTTCTGTTACCACTTAGCATTATCAAATTAAGAGACTAACTCACCACCATGTGGAGCATTTTTCTTGCACAAGAATTTAATGAATCAAAACTAGCCACAAAATTTAAGCTATACAAGATTACATGATTAATATTTTAATATTATACTAACAGTATATTATTAAATGAACATTATACTTTCATGTTATAATATTATATGTTGCCACACATACTAGTTCCTCCTCCAGGTTGTGCATTGAGCCTCTGCAGTGCACAGATGTAGATTTAGCCACAGCCAGGATAGGGACCAGGTGGTTACAGTACAAGGAGGATTGCAATGCTGTATTTATATTGTAGGAAAGGTGGCCGATGTGCAGGCAACTCTAACCTTGGTACCGGGTCAACACAGTTATAGCTTAAAACTTTGAAGGTGCACAACGAAAGTAAGAATCATAAAACTTGCACGGACCAATGCATTACCCCAAACACTGGGTGCGACCAACTGAGAAAATGAATAGCACCAGTGCTACAGCTGCAAAAGTTAGTTTGGAGCCCTGTGCTGAAATTGAGTTTCTCTGGATCTTGTCTGGAGTGGGCTTGATTGATTTTAAGATCTTATAGATTACATTTCATGCTCTCGGTGACCTGGCTGCAGATTATATTTTTGATGGTTTAATTCCATATAAGCCTTTGTTTATCATGAAATCTTCAGGCAGGGCTCTCCTGTCTCTCCCTGGGTCCAGGCTGAAATCTGAAGGGACAGAGCTTTTGCTGTCAGGGCCCCGAGGCTCTGGAACAACCTTCCGAGGACATCAAGCCGTCAGAGTCTTCTGTGATACGTTTTATTTTCTTATTATTTCTCATGTATTCCATCACTATGTAGTTTTTCATTTCATCCTTCTCTCTGTGTCTCTGTGACACACTCTGCACTTTGTTTTTATATGTACATGCTCTATAAATAGAGTTTATCATTATATTATTATTAAACACCAAGATTTCAAACTTGGGTTTTCATCTTGAGCAACAACTTTCATTCTTTCCGTGTATCATCAGCTTTAGAGTCCAACGGACCGCAGCCACTTGAAGGTAAATCTGAGTGTCGTGTGCGTGGCTGTGATAACCAACGTAAATCCAACCCACCTCCTCAGTGACGTAGGAGTACATGCGGTAGTTGGTCTTCCAGGGGTCCTGCGTGGCGTCGACATAGAAACCAGCTCCAGTGCCGAAATCCCAGCTCTCATCCTCCCCCTCGATGTTACAGCCACCTGATCCAGGACGGGACACAGCTGAGATCAGTCCACTCCATCTTTCTTTCATTAATCAGACAATCAAACGTGAATAGTTGTGTCACTGAGTGTGCGTTTTCATACGTGGGCTGGTGTCCGGAGCCACGACGATGATGCCGTGCTCGGCAGCAGCGAGCTGACTGCCAGCTTTGGTGATGAAGTTCTGCTCCGTGCACGTCAGGCCTGCAGAGGAATGAAAAGTGATCAACCAGCAGCTAAAACACTCCGAGGACTCAAGAAAGACAGAATATCTTAATTTAGGATGATTAACTCTTTACAGTCAAAGATAAATGATTGTGTTAAGCACGGCTGTATCAGATTTTTAAACTTGTTTCACGGTAACTGCTCCTGTTTAGATATTTAATTAACTTTTCAGCTCGAGCTGACGAGACAAAGGTCTGAGAGGCGAACTGCAGGGATGTAAGATAAGACAGACTTTATTGATCCCACATTGAAGAAATTTACTTGTTACAGCAGCTCCACTTATGATAAGGAGGTGCAGAAATAAATATACCTGCACAGGACAGTGGTAACATAATAAAAATAGGGCTTTACAGGTCAGGTATTAAAAATGTGTGTATCAAATATATATACAGTTGCAGGAAAAAGTATGTAAACCCTTTGGAAATACCTTGAGGTTATTGTTGCCAAAGGAGGATCTAATCCAAGGGTTCACATGCTTTTCCCACCATGCACTGTGAACGTTTACACGGTGGGTTCAATAAAAACATGAAAACATATAACTGTTTGTGTGGTATTACTTTAAACAAACTGTGTTTGTCTCTTGTGACTTAGATGAAGATCAGATCCCATTTTATGACCAATTTTTACAAAAATCCAGAGGGTTCACATCCTGCTACTGTATGTACAGTTACACAGTACAGGAACATAATAGTGCACTGTGATAAGTGTTTGTTGATGTAACACTCACATCCCATATATCTATAGGATCTCTGTGTGTGTGTGTGTGTGTATATATATATATATATATATATAATAGGAGGAGGAGTCTGGTGACTTTCTCAATGTCAAAAATCTCCAAATCCAAACCAGCTGTGAATGTATCTCCTAACAAGTATTGTGTGTGTTTCACAGCCTGATCTTAATCGGTTGCTGAAAATAGTCCCCAAATACTGCACTATTTGTTCCTTTTTGTTTTAAAAAAGATTCCGGTGAGCAGCTGTTCCAGGGAATTACAGAGTCTTTATAAACATGAAACTCTGTCTGAAGCACTTAGTGAACACAAAAATCCCATTAAACTACATGTTTTCATGGGATTTGTTAACAAAAAGAAAATACAAAATAAAGCCAGGCTTTAAAATGGAGTCTGAACCAGATGGCTGTGACGCTCAGACAATCAGGCTGCACAGTAGGGCTGCAATGAATAATCCACGCACTCGATAAAAAGTGATGATAAAATCGGTTTCCAACAAAGTAATTATCAATTAGTTTGTGATGTCATAGTGAAAAGTAGCAACATCAGTGAGGGCAACACCTTCAACACCTAAAACCTCCAAAGCGGCAGCCCACATCACCATTTATTGTGAAACTGCCTATTAAAATTCCATCTGCATTAATGGTCTGATCTTAACCTTTGTTTCCACCTGGTATTTTTAATGCGTTCTTGTTTTCCTCACTGAGATCAGGGCCCGTATTTATCAAGCCTCTCAGAATTACTCATAAGAACACTGCTAAGAACTGACTTCAGAGTAAAAAAATGCTTAAAAGTTAGTTATCAAGCATCATGGTCCTAATTTGAGTGAAGTGTAGGACTATCAGTCTTACAGCCGATTTACGACACTTTGCTGTGCAGCTAACAGGATTTTGGATGACGATGTAGCCAAGGACCAATCACTGAAGAGATTTCCTTATTTAAGAATATTCTCAAATAAATTCACATTGAATGGTGAAATTCCTAAGAGAAGTTTATATTCAACACACATCTAACAATAAAGACTTTTCAAGAGAATACATCATGATATACACAATAATAAATGAAAGATAAAAAAGCCAAAAATTGCGCCTACTGCTCCTGGGACACTTGTCCTTAAACACAACCACATAGCGTCGGCCCTGTGGTGTGTTTACAGCTAACAGCTGATCCAGGTCCGGGTCCGCCAGAGAACACAACATAACTTTTACTTTTTATTTATCAACAGAGCCCTGCTGTTGTTTGGACAACCTGGCCGTGTTTGAGAGCAATGTGCTCATGTTTGTTTCTCTCTGTCTGCAGAATCCGGACCTGATGGGGCCCATTCTGCCTTACTCTGACAAACTGCTGCGTTTACATAGCTAATGTGTTTATTTCTTTGTTCCTCTCTCTGTGCTGGAGTTCTTTTAAGAACTTGGAGGCTTTATCCAGATTATTATTAAATTTGTTCAATTTTAATAAGAGTGTGTTTTATTCATCTAGTGTGTCAAGCTTATTACAATAGGCCTATATTATATCCAATATATTCCCCGCAAATCTGATGTTAATATATTTTACTCGTAGATAGGGGCGTTAGGCATGAATGAGCACTTATATATATATGGCTGGTCTGGTAGTATACTCAGGAAAGATTGTGAAAACGGACGGATTTAGCCGGAGTAGTGGCTTAACTGAATATTGACAACATATTTCTTTTGTTTTTACATGGTTTGAATTTGTTTGTGGCTCCATGGGGCTTTATAGAACCAGGATAGAGAAAGATCGAGAGGTGAATGTGTGCATTATACTTTTCAAGCCAGGCAGCCTTCTGTGTTTGAGAACTGCGCAATAACCAGCCTAGTCAAAAGGAACGAAATGACACAAAAAAAAGATTAGTTCATTTTAATAAATGAGATTTGATGACTCCAGTCTGTCAAAAGAGTGACTTTCCCCATCACTATTCCAGGTCTACTTTCGGCTCAGTATGGAGCAGTTTGAGAGTTTGCTGTGGAGAGTGGACCAAGGATCTCAAGGTTCCATACAAATTACCGGAAGCCAATTTCTTCTAGGGAGCATCTCGCATTTCGTCTGAGGTAGGTGATTTACATTAAATAAAATGTAATAAAAATATCTAGGCTACTTTTCATTTTATAGGCTGTTTTGCTGGAGTCCCGCTAGTCATGTCTTTCTCCCACCCACACATCAGGGTTTTTTTCAGCCTGCACTCTGCAAATGGAATTTTACTTGTGTTAATTACTATTAGCTCATTGATTTCTTTATAGGCTGTTTATAAAATATCATTCGACTGATTAGGCTACATGGAAACTGTATTTCAAATTAGCATGATTGGAAGTGGTTGAACGGTGTGCAGTTTTATTTTTACTGAGCATTATGATGTTATTCATTTCAGATACCTGCAGGTCACTCCTGCACCGCCATCGCTTCTAGCTACAGAGTGGGCATCTCCACTGTGGCAAACATTGTACCAGATGTGTCCAAGGCCATTTGGGACAGCCTGGTGGATGAATTTCTTCCAAAGAGGAAGAACTTCCCCAACTGTGTGGGAGCAATAGATGGGAAACATGTGGCGATCCGGGCACAACATAATTCAGGTTCCCACTTTAACTGCAAGGGAACATACTCTTGTTGTACTTCTTTTTAGGGTGGTGGATGTTGGAGCTTTTGGTTGGAACAGTGATGGAGGGACCCTTGCTGCTTCCACCTTTGGAGAAGCTCTGCCAGAAGAAAAGCCCAGAAGATGCTCCTCTCCCAGGAGCCAATCACGTGGGGCCCACACCTCATGTCTTCGTGGGAGATGAGGCTTTCCCCCTCAGGTGACTTATATTAATTATACATGATGCTCTACTGTGTATATATAGAGTGGAATAAATTGCTTTTTCTTGTGTCCTCCGAGTTTGACTCTGAACAGGAATAATCTCTGGTTTTCAAATTACATGCAGCATCACATTTTTATGAAATTGTCTTTTAATTGTCCTTGTGAAAAGCGAAATAAATAGAAATACTTCCATGTGGTCTTGTGTTCTGCCCCTGCCCCACTCTTCTTATCTCTCACGGTCTGTCTCGCCTTAATATCTGTCCCTGAGATTTTTCCATCGCCTTTTACACCCATCCTCTAAATAATAGGAGAAAATGTGTCAATAATAGTATATGAAAGCTATAACTTATCTTAAGTCTTACTTCAATAAAGAAAATAGATGTAGAGCTATTGAGGGAGAACATAACCGCAGCAGGGCGGTCGTCGCTGTCTGTCTGAGTGTAAGAGTGATTCTTAGCTTTAAGACATTTGATAACTTTCTTTTATTCTTAAGTTTGAAAGTAGGAGTAAATTTCATGAATTCTCAGCACTTAAGACTAAAATGGCACTTTGAGAAGCTTCATAAATACCCGCCCAGATCTCGTTCTCCAAACCTGCGCGTGAGTAATTTGCAGTGGCGGCTAATTCGCCCCAGTCTCCCTTTAAAAACTCAAGAGTTTTCTGAGTTGTTGAGTTTAAGGAAACTTTATAAACTTTGTGAAATGCCGTCTACAACAAATTCTTAATTATGTGTCCCCTCTTGTAAATTCAGCAAATCTAACACATGAAGTTATACCTTTCTTTGTATAAAAATATTGTGTCAGCTTGTGTCTCAGTGTGTTGCAGTACCAGCGTGTAAGCTACTCTGTCACTATATAAATCACATGCCTTGTTAACAGCAGACCTGCTGCTCAGATTAGTCAGTTCTTACTGTATTTACATGTTTGGGGCATGAAATGACTGGATTTAAGTGCAACATTACTGTCCTTATTGTTGTATTGCAAATTGCCAAAAAACAACCTCAAGTTAAATATAAAAGCTGATATTCACTAACTGATCAATTATTTTCTATAGACTTTAGTTGCAGCCCTACTCACCAGACAGCCAGTACATGACGGGACATTTGTCCGTCTCAGCCTTGGGAGGCAGGTAGATGGCAAACTTCATCTTACACTTGAGCTCAGTGCTGCATGAAGGAAACACAAACACACACATTAATTCATTGCTTTACAGGTGTGTGTCGCAAGCTGCAGGAGTAAACTTTGACTTTTTCAGCTGAGATCTCACCTGTCATGTTCAAAAACCTTCTGGAAGCCACCAGCGCACTTGTTAGAGGACACTTGTGTGAGGGCCATCTCTGATCTGTAAACAGACAGGTGTGTTAACATCATTAGTCTTATATTATCCTACTGCTGCTGTCCCGACTGATTTAATGAGGTTTACAGTTTTACCGTTATCTTATTTGCAGGACTCTAAAAAGATGCACAGCTTTGTCAGACTTTCAACAACTCATTTAGTTTCACATTCAGCCTTCATAACGTCGAGATACAGCCTCACATAACAGAAACATACACGCCTGTTGTCTCAGCAAACTTTTATTAAAAGCACATGTGTACACATGTCTAATTTTCATCCTTTGGCAGAAAATCACTGAGACCAACACATAAATACACTTCATGGAATTTAAATATGTTGCACTGGATAAAACCGGTGATTTGAGAAATGACATCACCTGTTCATATACAGAGATAGCTAGCTGATTTTAACCAACAGTGCACAGCTTTGTAACACCATGCATGTGGAACAGCTGCATGTGCAAGTTAAGTTTGTTAAACATGTGGAGTTCTGCAGGTCAGCAGCTATGGTAGCCGCTAAAAGGAAATATACTTAAATAAACTCTGCAGTTTTTATTCTATTACAAGACTGGATACAAACACTATATTAATTCATTTAAATTAAGCTGCTGTCACTGCTGAAATGTGAACAAAACGCCACTATAACGGCAACGTTACAGGCAACCACATTTAAAAACACTAGTATTAAGTTCTATACTTCATATTTTTTCCAAAATGCGTCATGCCGAACTACCCAAAACATTTCTATATTCAAACATATATAACTATATGCTCAACCACCTGTGTTCTTAGCTTGTTTATAAGCAGCGGGATTTTAAAATAGATATATTTTGAATAGAATCTGGTGTAACGTTACGGCGTCCTTTAAGGGGGGGCGTGCAGAGATTAGCAAGTAAAGTTAGCTCCTGTTAGCATCGTTAGCTGCTAGTTACGAACGTCTGTTTGAAGTTAAAACACTTCATACCTTCTGACAAAGCAAATAAACAAACTAAACGCATATTCCTCGGTGCATACCTTATTCAATTACGGTGCTTTGTTGAAAATCGTGCTCAACTGGTTCGCTAACTTCCCCGCCGCCGCTGCAGTCCAGAGAGTCCACAGTCCGACAGCGTCAGGGTGAACGTGGTGACGTCAGGGGAGCCGCCCCTCTCCACACGTCCGCGATGTAACACGTACGTTGGAACGCAAGATGGCGGTGGTGTTCACCAAGAAACCTGTTTACTATGAATAAATAACTAAATTATAAATGGGTGACAAATTAACCAAATAAAAGAGAAAGCAGCATGGAGTGTCTCAGTATGAGTCAGGCCACCGCGAGCCTCCAGAACAACTTCAGGGCTCCTCACCAAGTCTGTGGAGCTCTACTGAAGCAGATGAACAGCAGTCCACCAGATATTTCTTCATTTATATGTACACCACGTTTATTTAATCAAGTCGTCTCATTGAGATCCAGAGAGACAGCTGAGGACAGCAGATAGAAAAAACACAAACATAAGCAGACAGAAAAAAAGGACATGCAGCAGACATCATTACATAGACCAGAAGAGGAGAATTTATTTCATATAATTTGGCTTATGGAGATGCTGATAGAGAACATTGTCCAAAATCGGTGAAACTGGGTTGAGATATGGCGACTGTAAAGGCCATAACATTGTTTCACATCATTTCATCCTCACCAAACTGTTCAGTAAGCCGTGCTGCACCAAGCATCTGCATCCAACTTTTTTAATTTTATTTATTTATTGTGGGTTTGGTAAGTAGGCCTACTTGTAACAAGTACAAATGTTTAAATTGCAGAAAGTATGCAGTTATACAAAATAAAGTGAAAGTGAAAAGGTCTGGCAATTACAAAAGTATATGTATAATTGGAGGCTTGAAGCACACACTTATAGTTAAAGCTTATTTAAAACACGCAACTAACGATTCAACATAAAACATCTTCAACATTTTCAGGTATCTAAAGCTCTGATTATACCTGTGAATCACTCGATACCTGTGTGAGCTGCCCGGTCTGTTGTGGCACACCATGTGATCTCCCAGGTTTTTATTTTTCACTTTTTACCGGAAGAAATCTCATTGATCCACATCACTGTAAATGTGTCGTCCCTCCAGCAGAAACATGGAGCAGCTAAACGCAGGACAACATGCAGAGTGAGCAATACACAGAAAGTGAGAAATATACAACAGAGGTACTGGTAATTTCCACTCCACTACATTTCAGAGGGAACTACATTACTACATTTGTTTAACAACTTAACTTACTATTAGTTTTCAGATTCAGATTACTGAAACAGTCAATAACTAAATTATGATATATTATTATTAGCCTGCCTTCACCAGAGAAACAGCCGTATAGGTCAATTTTGAAGCAACTTATATATTTATGTTTTTTTGTTAGGCTGCAACCTCTAGTGGCAAAATAACTCTTTCAAGGTGGGGTCCTTGTGGAGGCTCCTGTGGGTCCCCAGCAAAACGTGCAATCATTTATCTTTACTATAATCCCATCCTCCTGCAATGGACTGGCGACCTGTGGGTGTACCCCGCCTTTCGCCCAATGTAAACTGGGATTGGCTCCCTAAGCAGTTGACTATGGATGGATGGATGGATAATCCCATCCATTAGGAACACAAGGAGAGAATGTGTGACTATTTTGGTCGTGGGTTTCACACACTTTCTGTAATAAATAAACATTTTTTAAATTTTTTTTATTTAAACTTTATTTAAACGTGGAAAGTTACAACCACGGCCTGGCAAGAGGGGAACATCCTCTTGAAGGGAGGGATACATCGGGGAATAAAGAGTATGAAAAGATAACAGGGACAAAAAGATAAATGAAACATAACATTTGAAACAATACAAGGAACAGTGCAAAACACAAAGACATTTCACGATCAGAAGCTGGGCGGGCACAAGGGGGTCCGTGGTCTAATTTGTGTCAGTTTAGGGGTCCTTGACATGAAAAAGTTTAAGAACCACTTAAGTAGGATAAAGAGCGACTAAGTCCATGTAAGGATGTGGTGTGTGGTCTCAGTCTGAACTGGCACTTGCTCGTACTTGTTGTTTTACACTCACACCAAATTGAAATTTTGTTGTTTATGTAAGATGTTGATTATTATAAGTTAAGCTACCCAGCAGCACGTAAAGTACTTAAAATGAGCTCCATATTTATCAGTTACAACATTAAAGCAATAAACTAGTGTTGCCAACTCCTCAGTAAGGAAAGTAGCTATTGGCTGTCCTAAAAGTCGCTGAATGATGTCATCACCAGATTTACATAATGGCCAAGTGCATGTAATTGTGATGGAGGCTGTAGGAGAGAGGAATAACTTCGTGGGTGGGACAAACAGTGAGTAAAAAACCCTAAATATCCAAAAGTCTACAGTAACACCAGAAAGAGTTGCTAGATGTGTCGCTAGTTGCTTCTTTTGAAAAAGAGTCCTAGAGGAGTGCGAATACTCACTAAATATAGCAGCAAAGTCACTAAGTTAGCAACACTGTGAGACTTGGGACTCACGAAAAGCCTCCCCCACCAAAGTGCTGAAAGGCTTGTTCAGAAAGCTTTGCTTCATATCGACCATCTCTGATCAACCTGTCCTCGAACACGGCCACCTGTAACCATTGGTAACCACTTTTCAAAAGAGAAAGCCCACTTTGTGAGGAGTAAAGAAAAATTAAATTACTGTGCTCTAGTGTTTTTACCGTCTGAGTCATTTCTCTCAAACAAAGTCTGTCTTTGTTTATCTGCTCGTGTCTGTAGGTGTGTTATTCCATTTACTTGAATCTCTGTCGGCCTGTTTTTACACCACCTGCCTTCTCCCTCCATCAGCCTCCGTCGCCTCTCGTCGCTCCATATCATTCGTTTCCTCCACTGTGTCCACAGAGCAGGATCTGGATTGTAAATTATTGATTTATTACTACACACACACAGTACACCAGTGCTTGTGTCCTGACTGTCTCTGCAGCTGCTTCCTAAATTAGACCGTTTCAAATCACCAAAAAAACCCAACAGATTAAATTCACTCCCTGCTCACATGGTGATTATGGTTACGCCTACAGCCATGCGCCCATGTGTTGGGAAGATTCCATTTAAAACTGAATTTGTCACACATTACTGCTCATCATTTATATTTATATATATCTCACACAGTCCAACAGGCGGCAGGCCATCAGTGTTTAAAGCCACTGTGCTTTACCTGGACAGGTGTGTCCGTTCCCGTACTGGGCAAAATCTACCCTGCTGAAGTGCCCATGAACAAGGTTCACCAGGACCAACCTCCCAGACTGTGGGACTGAACAGTTGACAAATGAGAATTGCCCTACCTGAAGTAATAAATCATACATATGCTAAATCAGCCTGTTCTCACACCCAAGTCATCACGTATGGACACATGGTCAAGACCCCTTGGCGTCAGTTTGTGGCCCTGGGAAGCCCTTTAGTGTAATTTAAGAATGCTGAATGCAGGTGTAGGATATACGTAAATAAAAGAAAATCAGAGTAAGGAGGTGGTTGGGGTGTGCAAGAAACTGGACTTTCACCCAGGAGACCTGTGTTTGTTTTCTTTGTGAAACAAAAAGTCAGGATTGATTGTTTTATTTTATTTTGAAGTTTTATTTTGAAAGTCTAACCAGACGTTGCATATTTATTCTTGCTAACTTGACTACAGATGACCTTAAGTGTACCCAGGGCGTTTAAAAGCGACGCTAAGGAGTCTTATGTGATGAGTTGGGAGGGAGAACGTGTTGGCAAAATAACTCCAGCTGTCAGAAAAATGGAGTATTTCCATTTTATGCTTTTTACTTAAAAAGCATAAAGTAGCAAAAAATGGAAATACTCCAGTAAAGTACCTCAAAATGTTACTTAAAGTATAGGCCACTACAGCACTAGAGTAAATGTACATTCAGTAAAACTTTGACTGGCCTGGCGTGGCTGCATGTTTTGACACATAAACGCCGGCCTCAATTAGAAGCCTGGTCTGGTTTTAATAGAAGTTCTCTGGATGCATAAAATCTCTTAAAGCCCATCGGGGTGCCTGCTTGAAGTTAGCTGCTTAGATTGTGCATACAAATATAAATGTTTAAACCTTTGTAAATATGGACATGCTACACATGCTATCATTCAGTTCATTTTACAAGAACCATGAGCACAAGTATTATTAATTCAGATTCACAGGCGTTGTAGACAAGGGACAAAACAGAAGTGGTGACTCCTGACGTCTTGAGTCCGAATATGTGTCCATTCCTTGAGTATGTATAATATTTACTTCCACCAATCAAAAGAATCAAAATGTTTGTTTTTTTTCAAATGAATCCAAGTTTAAATAACTACTAATAACCTTCAGCTTTCATCCCTCTATGGTAGGCTACCAGTACTTTAATGCGCCGTCTCTCTGAGCTAGATCAAAAGAATTTGTAATTGATATGTTATTCTTAAGTAAGTATTTAAGTAACATTCATACTGGGTTAAATAATTATCTTTGCTGAGAGAGAGTTTGTGGGAAAGGAATAAAAGGCCAGTTCCAAATATAGGGTGAGTTCAGTGATTAAAAAAAATAAAAGCCCGGACTGTTACAGGATGTTACATGCCACCACAGCCTGTCAGCTTTTGTTTCTTGCATCCGTGTGTGTTTATGCAGATTTACTCGCCAACGCTGACCACTGAGCCTCTGGGAGCTGATGACCTGCTTTACCTCACTGTGACGGACGTGTTGGCAGAAACCCACAAACACACGGGTAACACACATGACAGACAGGAGACTGGTTTATATCTGCATGTAAAAGCATTTTAACAACCACTGATGTTTTAAAAGAGCTGAAACTGTGAATTTTGCCTGAACGGGGGAAAGAGAGTTGAGCTGGAAAACTGATGTAAATCAGTCTGTCTGATGAAATAATAAGATTTAAATAATTTAAATGAGCTAGCAAGTTATTCCTGCTGGGGTTAGCTGCCCCTCACACATTCACACTGTGGGGGTCGGACAGAATCGGCATGTTAATGTCATTTCTTGGGAGTGCAACACATGAAGCAGCTGCCTCATTTGTCAACATCACTGATATGCTGGAAATTATGTTGTATTTAGGGTCGTGGATTGTGCAAAAAAGAAAAAAATAATGGACTTAAAAAACAGATCGACCTTCAGTTGTTTTTTTTTTAG